CATCCCCGCCAACATCTGTCGTTTCCTGACTTGTTCATTTTAGCCATTCTGACTGGTCTACACCAACTTTTAACACGAGAAAGGATTAACATTAAATCAAAAATATTTTATCGATCAAAAGCTATCATATTCTCCCATATGAGAAAGTTGCTGACTTTTAAGACTCACTTGCTATTAAAATCCTAATGACTACTACTACATGGCAGTTTTCCAAAGAACGACGTAATTTGTTATTTTTTAATGAAAGCTACGGGCTGCCCTCAGTGGCACACCCACTCCTTGCCTATCAAATATCAACTCAACAAAGATCAACCTTCAAATGCCTAGTTACCTTCATGACTAACATCTCATGTTTAGGTAGTAATGTCAGACCACCAAATCTAAAGCAATACGATATAATTCTGAGGAAAAACATACAAACTTCTTCTCAATAAATCCTATTTTAGAACACTGTTACTTTTGACCCTTTGACAAGAACATGACCACTCATTAAACTACCTGTTTTTAGATCTTTTATTTTAAAGATTTTATTTGAGAGTGAGAGAGCAAAGGCAAGGGGAAAGGCAGAGAGAGAGGGAGAAGCAGACTGCCCCTGAGCAGGGAGCCCGATGCGGGACTCAATCCCAGGACCCTGGGATCATAACCTGAGCCAAAGGCAGACTGTAACTGAGCCACCCAGGCACCCCCTAAACTACCTGTTTTTTGTTTGTTTCTTATTCATGAGAGAGAGCGAGAGAGAATGAGAGAGCAGGAGATGGGGGAGGGTCAGAGGGAGAAGGGGACTCCCCACTGAGCAGGGAGCCCAACACAGGACTCGATCCTGGGACTCCAGGATTCACGACCCAAGCCGAAGGCAGCTGCCCAACCAACTGAGCCACCCAGGCACCCCTAAACTACCTGTTTTTAAATGAAAATAAGTCACAAAAAAATAAAATGATCTTTTAATAGAAGTTTTTGATCTGTCATGTGTGCATGACTTCCACACATAGGTTTTATTACCAAGATGTTCTAAATCTTAAGAGTTAACAACAAGAAATGCCTCCCCGCCTCCCCAGGGGCGGGTGGGTAATTTGAAACTTTAACATCTCACACATTCTTACCACAGGTTTCAAAAGAAGAGTTAAGCTAATATTTCTTTTCAATACTACTAAAAGAGCAAATCTGCCCAAAAAATATCTTGACTTGTGTTCTACTGATAATACTCTATTTGTAAAAGAAAACACATATATGCACACACACACAAACACACCTTAAAAAGGGTTCGGGATGTACTCAATGCCACTGAATTACACACTTAAAAATGAGTTCAAGAAGTGAATTTTATGTTACTTATTTTTCACCATAATAAAAAAGGGGGGGGGAGGTGGTACAGAAAACCTGCTAAGGGAAATTAAGGAATATGTAATTATTACGTATTTTCAACAACCCAACACTTGAGAATGGGATTCTCATTGGCATTTTTCAAGTTAAAATGTTCCAGTTTCCATTTTCAATAAATCCTAATACATGATAATGAGTACTGAGTTTGAATTTCACTTATAAAACAATATGCAAAATTAAAATAAAGATAGAGCTTCTTACACTTCAACATTTTTCTGTTGCAGACCAGATGTCTTCTTTCCTGGGGCAGCCCCTCTCATCTTCCCCTCTGCATACTGCTCCCTTCAAAAATAATTTCAATAGTTGTCATTAAATGAGGACGTACGTGGAAAAATAAATTGTGCCAGCTTGACTGCATTTGAAATTTATATTCAAACTGAGGTCCCACACCCCCTTCCCAAGTGTAACTCCCACAGAGCCCAGGAGGTAAGGAGATCACAGTGAGTTTGCAACTACAGGAATTTCCAACAACAGCCTGCTGTCTTCTATCTAACTCTATGGACAGACTCAAGAAATGACCAGTATCTACCTTCCTTTTTCTAGGAAAGGTTTCTCTGACTGAAGTTTAAAGCCCCAACACAGCAGCTGACAGGTACCAAGAGTCATTTTGTCGGCGGGCAGCCAATATGATTCTAGTATTCATTCCATTTCCCAAAATTAATTTATAGACATTTCTCCTCCTATTCATGGCTGCAAAACAAACTTACTGATTGGCTTTTTGGAGTTCTCGCTGTTTCTGCAGATTGGTATCCACGTATTTGAGTACTCTGCTTTCTGGAACCCATTCATCCCAACTGAAAAAGACAAAAGTTAAATTATCATTCAAAATTACTTTTACCACTATTCAGACTTTGTCCACCAATTACTTTTTAGAGATCTAAGAGGCAAGACTTCGAATTTCTCTGACAAAAATTTAGTAGGACTACAAATCCATTCTCAACTAAAATGAAAATCTGTTATATAAAGGAAGTAAACATTTCATATCCACAAAAGCAGCATTCCAAATCTTAACTGCCAGATTACAAAAACAGATTGAAATCCTTTCTTCAAATGACTTAAGAGCATGGCACTTAAAGAGTCCCTAAGCAACTACCCTTACAGAATAAAGAGATCTTAAAGAATTTTAATTTCCAAAAAAAATAAGTCCATCAAAAGCTATACTGTGAAACATAATAGTGAAGTTACAGAAGTAGCTGTGCATGATTTTCATCACCTGTAAAATGAGCGTAACTATACCTACCTTTACACAATTGTTACAAAAATTAAATAATACATGTAAAATAGTCAGGAATCTGACACACAAAATACACTCACGGTAGGTCAGGAACATGATTAGGTCTACCACACTCAAACAACATCCAGACCAACTCAGCTAAGACTGTGGATCAAACCATTATCACGTGGTTTATCAGACTACATCATCCTCAACCTTCACTCATGAATGAACGAATGCACTAACTTCCAAGACATAACCAGAGAGATGGCTTTTTAAACATCACAAGGTAGAACGAACCACTCCAAAAAGATCTAGTTGCTTAAGCATTCTGGCCCTTAGAAAAGCTCCTTCAAGATTTCTGATGTGGTTTTTCTCCAGAGGGGAAAACAAAAACAAGGTATTTCTTAGGGAATGCTGAACTATTCATGCAAATTGATTTTCTCCTGCTGAGGGAGCTCCTTTAGTGACACAATCAGATGTATCCTCAAAGCAAAATCTTTCATTTAATGATTTCCCACCTCTGACCTCTTACATTAGATAGCCAAAAGGAAAATAAGTAATTAAAAAGCAATCCTCAACATGATTTCCTAGAGAAAACTTTAAAACATGCATTTACCTAGAGGTCAGGAGGGGGTGGTGTACTGAGGGAGCTCCTTCAGGAACAGGAAAAAGGGCTACAATATCCTCACGTGTCTTCAAAGTTTTTTCAGAGCGCCTGGGCCTCACAGCACTTCTGATACAGACAGCATAGTACAAAGTAATCTCAGTAACTAGGTGCAGAATTTAGCTTAAGCTTTATTAAGATTTATTTACAAATGGAGTATTTAAATGTCTGTGTCAACAAGTTCCAATAAGGATTTGAAAATTTAGAAATATATCACCTATTGTGCTTTTGAAAATATTTATATATTTACTAAAGTTTAAAAAACTCCAATTTGGAGATTGGGCTTTTGTAGTATGACTTTCTAAAAGATACCTTACAGACCATTTTCAAAATGAGAATCTTATTTTTATTTATACATTTACTTGTATCTATTCCCATTCTCTCTAAATTAAAGGGAGCTGTCAAAATTTTTATTTACCACAAAGCTCCATTTTAGATCCCTGCAAATCCCTTCCCACTCTGATATAAAATACATCTACATAAGCACTTTGATCTAAAAACCAAATCAAGGGGTGCCTGGATGTCTCAGTCAGTATCCGGGTCGTGAGTTCAAGCCCCACATCGGGCATAGTATTTACTTAAAAAAAGTTTTTTTAATTAAAAAATAACAAAAACCAAATCAATTCCAGAGTTTCCTTTATGTGTCAGAAGCTGAAAACCCTTGCTGAACCACAGGAAGATGAAACATCTTTTGCTCTGAGGAACATCAGTACTAGGGTAGTAACTGAAGGCCAGACGTTCAGAAATTTTCAGAGGTCACAAGCGTAAGTTCAGAATTTTCTAAAGGTAGCCTGTCACTAATTCCAACATCACAGTGATCTGTGGCATTACTTACACAGTACTAAACATAAACATAACACACTTGCTGGGCATTTGAGTAACTCTTCCCCATTTCAAAATGGGGTTTATTTAAAGCCTTCTCTAAATACTAAGATCAAATTTTTCAGTTATGTATATTGATCTACATCCCAAATCACCTACAAAAAATACATCTTTGTTCATTAATATCCTCAATACATCTAAAAGATATTAAAGATCTCTGATGTTTAGTGCCATTTTTAAATTTTTTTCCAAGGAATCAGTATATAAAAGTAGCTGAAAACAAATCTATGCAGCCTATCATTTTATGTGTTACTGAATTCTAACAAAGGAAAAAACATTATTTTAAAGTCATAAAATCAGGAAATGCCAAGTGTTTGACACTTTCATAATTTCTTATAAGCTACAAATGCCACTCAAAACCCAAGTCTTTAAGCTGTACACATCTACCTTTAATTTTAAACAAAATATTGCACATAAAAGAGTTAAGCCCAAAACCTGTGTGTTCACAGCTATTAAGATGAAATCCTAAAACACTTATTTACAAGAGTAAATGGGGAGGGAGACAATCCTGTATCATGAATTTGCTGTTTTTCTTTCGATTTCCTGGATGGACGTTAATTTTCCCACACATGATATGCACAAATGAGATATTTTATTACCTGTAGAGAATGGAGATTCTTATTGTATTGTAATGCTCTCAACTTTACCCAATACTAACAGAGTATTATCCGCATGTATAATAAATCTAATACAAGACTGAAATACAGTTTAAATAGGGAAAGCTACAGTACACACCAGGAGCCATACGATGAACTTTCCTGGATATTAGAAATAATTTAGATATTAGAAATCACATTTAAAATCATAGTTTATTTCTAAAAGACAAAAGGATAGTTTTCCCTATGGCTTTCCCAATTTCTCAATATTTAAAATCCTGTCATTATGAGCAATAGTTTAAGTGGGGAAAAAAAATCACAAGGAATGTGCTTTTAAACATTTTAGATGTCCGCCTTTCTACAACTATACTAATGGAAGAAAAGCGAAGGGTCTGGTTTTTTTTTTTTTTTAAAGACTTTATTCATTTATTTGAGACAGAGACACAGTGAGAGAGGAAACACAAGCGGGGGCGGGGGGGGGTGGGAGAGGGAGAAGCAGGCCTCCCGCAGAGCAGGGAGCATGATGCGGGGTTCGATCCCAGGACCCTGGGCTCATGACCTGAGCCAAAGGCAGACGCTTAACGACTGAGCCACCCAGGCGCCCCAGGGTCTGGAATTTCTTAGCTAAAAGCACTTTGTGAAAAATTTTTCTAAAAAATAAAACTGGGTCACCTAAACAAGACCAAAAACACAGGGCCAGTGAGAGTCAGAGAATACCTCCTTCCATAGCACTAGAGTGCTCATGCAATCAGATGGCTTGCTCACGTGGGGAACCGGACACCAGAGCACAGCTCAGGGGACACAAAGCCTTAAAAGTTGCAAACATCCCCGGAAGAACCACTTTTTGGCAATCTTTGAAGGACAAAACACCACTAATAAAAGTAATTTAAAACCGCTCACAGTAAAAATTACAGGCTCTTCTATTTCAAGCACCAAAAATGAATAAATTATTAGATATGATATTTGTGGGTCCCAAGGAGAAAGAGTCATCACTGAAAAAGAGAACTCCATTGGCTAGATATTCTAGAATATGTTCACTCTAGGACCACTGTCCACACCTGGCAATGGATCAATACACCACTCCTTTAAAAAAATAAAAAGGTCTAACTCTTCAAGGTGAAAAGTTAGGTACTGTAATTTAATTCTTCTATCTGTATTAAACCATATTCTAAAAAGTGAACACATGAAATCACTCTCTGCCAACATTTATGTTACCAAAGTCCAGAATATAAGTTGGTCATTACTTCCTAATCAAACAAGCTCATCCTTTTTCCTTTTTTAGGCAGAAAAATCCAACTAGCTCTGAGTATAACTATTTGCAATAACATATACAGTAACTGAGTTTGTGCTAAGGCAAAAAACTAAAGCTGTCCTACAATGTACTAAACCAAGAAAAAAAGTAGTTGGTTGACTAACAATTATTAGACATTATACTAGAGCACGAGAAATAATCCAAAGAATTTAAAATAGAATGGCTGTGTACCCTAGTTTCTATTACTTTCTCCATACTACAAATGTTTCACCCTTGCTTTGATACACAGAATACATTAAAACTGTACAAGAATTAAGAGGCATGGGTTTGTGACACACATGACACAAGCTACCTTGTTAGAAATAAAACATTGTTTTCAAAGATCTAATACTAATACTCACTTTTTATTCCAACCACTGTAATGTATAAAGTATTTCACTTGTTTGTCCTTTATGGCAACCTTTACACACTGAAATAAAGAAGAAAAAATTCACTCAGAAATAGGTTTTGAAAAAGATGACCACCTGTATGCTTTTCAGGTATACCATCTGTAGGACCCTCCCCTCAAACTCCGGTGGCCACAACGAGCACGACACGATGTGACGGTCAGGAAGAAGAGCGCTCAAGCTTCTCACTCACATCCACCCACAGTCATAAAACTGCCTCAAAGTCACCATCTGCTGGAGCTAGTCCAGCAAACGCAGAAAACCCACTGTAACACGTCACCCTGAGCCTTAAATCAGTGGGCTCGATTAGCTCTCCAAGAACAGCTGATGGAAGCCACGTTTGCACTTTCTCAAAATCTACCAGTGAGAAGCCATTACATATTTCAAAGACAAATTCAGATGAAGAAAATTATTTATACCGTATCATTAAAAAGTGTCATTAACTTATAGAAGGCAATAAACTGTTTTGCTGCCAAGTATTAGCAACTAGCGAAGTTACAGATGAAAAAACGTTTTATGCTCTTCTTAAAAGTGGCCTCACAATTAGAATGCACGATTAGAGGAAGTTATCAGCTATGACAAGTGATCACTATCCAAAGTCTTTATCTTGGGCAAACCAAGAGAACCAGGATAGTTTAAGCTATTCCAACAGCCATTCAAAAACCGTTCACTGGAGTTTCTGCTGCCAGACAAAAAAAAAAAACCTGTCAGGTTAATGGAGTTGACACAACAAAAATAGTATTCAGGAACATAAATGATCAACAGAGCTCACAACTTACTTACAAGCTGTGTTAGTATGGCATCACTGAAAGATGTACATACACATAAAGTTAATAGAGTCTCCATAAATCCAAATGCAGTCATTTTAGAACTTTAAAAACACATATCTAATCTATGTATTCAAAACAACTGAAAAATAGTGAAAATGGCTGTTATTTGGTCACACGGGCATTTCAAGACTGTTAAGACCATTTTCAAAAAAAAAAAAGACCATTTTCACACATATACTAAGAATGCTGTAGAAATTGTATTTAACTAAATGCTGTATTGTTTTGCATACCGTTTTTAAAAATTACAAGCGTTAAAAACAGTTACACCTTACATATTTGCGCTAAAAGTTACCAGAAACAGAATACTAAAAACACTTTTTACTGGGGAATTTATCATCTCATTTACCTCTAGCTAAATGTAAAATCAGTTCTGACAACGGGAGCACACCCGATACAGGGGAAAGGAAGCCCCTAGGATTCAAACTCTGACAGACAAAGCAACAAATAAGTTAAATGTCCTCACATTTTTAACATTCACTCTGATCTTTAACGTAGTCAAGTTAGCTCAGGGCTTACTCAGCATACTATATTTACACCCAAAACTGACTTTGGCAGTATTTTCTCACAAGTCAGTAACTACACATGCAACCTGCCCCCACAACCAACCAGTCTTTTACCTTTCCCCTCAAATGCTCCTTCCAGCTGCTGGGCCTTCAGCAGGTCGTAAGGTGAATGGCAAGGTGGCAATGCTGTATCTGACCCACTCGGCAAGTAAGAGAAATGACGGACGCTATGGACTACCAATCTGTGAAAAAGGCAACTCTCTTCCTACCAACCACTGAAATCTGATGCTCAAGAATCATCTAATCAGTCATTTCAGCTAACTTCTCACAGGAAAACAGGTTTCATACCTTTGCTTCATAAAGAAGAGGCCCATGAAAGCACAGCACTCGCTCACCTGTAAAAGTAAAAAAAAATATCGAATTAATTGTACTTTCTCTTCATATCTAAGGGTCACATGTGAGAGCCATCACATCTGTACTCGCAAGTAATCCTCGCAAAACCAGAAGAGTATGGCCGTGTACAGATTAATACCTCGGATCAAACGTCAATAGTACCCTGCAACAAAAGCACCTCAGTATGCAATGTAAACAAAAAACAATTAATTAGAATGTCAATCCATTTAGACCATCAAATCATCTATCATCTGTTAAGGCAATAAAATTCTACAATATCTACCTTTTGGAAGAATTTGGGTTTTTCAATGTGTATCTCAAAATACAATTTTTAAAATATTTTTTTTTAAAATTTATTTGAGAGAGAACGCGCGCACATGCGCCACCCAGGGGTGGGGGGGCAAAGAGAGAATCTTCAAGCAGACTCCCCACTAAGTGCAGAGCCTGATGCCAGGCTTCATACGAGGAGCCTGAGATCAGGACCTGACCTGCAATCAAGAGTCGGGCACTTCATGATCCCAGGGTCATGGGATCGAGCCCCGCATCGAGCTCCCTGCTCAGCGGGGAGCCTGCTTCTCCCTCTCCCACTCCCCTGGCTTGTGTTCCCTCTCTCTAGCTGTCTGTCTCTCTCTCTAATAAATAAATCTTTTACAGGCGCCTGGGTGGCTCAGATGGTTGGGTGTCTGCCTTCGGCTCAGGTCATGATCCCAGGGTCCTGGGATCTGCCCCCCTCTCTCTCTCTCATGAATAAATAAATAAAAAATCTTTAATAAATAAATAAATCTTTTACCAAAAAGAGTCGGACACTTAACCAACTGAGTCACCCAGATGCCCCTAAAATATTTCCATATTTAGGACCTTATGCTCTCCCTATTATTTCTGCTTCCAAACCTTTTACTGGTCAAGTAAAATAAGAATTCCAACTTTTGGAAATCACATTCTATGTCAAACTTAAAATTAAGACTTGCACGAATAGCTAAAGAGAAGGAATTAAGACCTGGAAGCCAACTCAGCTCCTCAGACAAATCAGGCTGTTAATTCCTGGCAGTACCTGAAGACTACTACATTTGATTATCGTAGAAATGAATTTCTTGCACATTATTTTCAGTCCCCTTGGATTTCATCAGACCCAAAGGTTAACAAAAGTACTCCACCACAGATAGCTCTTTAAGCTCTAAATTTTTTTTTTTAAAGATTTATTTTGGGGCGCCTGGGTGGCTCAGATGGTTAAGCGTCTGCCTTCGGCTCAGGTCATGATCCCGGGGTCCTGGGATCGAGTCCCGCATCAGGCTCTCTGCTCCTTGGGAGCCTGCTTCTCCCTCTGCTTCTCTCTCTCTCTCCCTGTCTCTCATGAATAAATAAATAAAATCTTAAAAGAAAAAAAAGATTTTATTTATTTTTTGACACAGAGAGACACAGCGAGAGCAGGAACACAAGCAGGGGGAGTGGGAGAGGGAGAAGCAGGCTTCCCACTGAGCGGCTCGATCCCAGGACCCTGAGATCCTGACCAGAGCCGAAGGCAGACACTTAACGAATGCGCCACCCACACGCCCCTAGCTCAACATTTTTTATTGAGAGCCGGGCGCACACACAAACAGTAGGGGCAGAGGGAGAGGCAGACTCCCCGCTGAGCGGAGACCTGAGCAGTGAGCAAGGAGCCTCAAGGGGGCTGATCCCAGAAACCTGAAATCTTGACCTGAGCCAAAGTCAGAGGCTTAACCCACTGAGCCACCCAGGCACCCCAGCTCAACTCTTCAGAAATTATAGGGCAATAAAAGTTTTCACCGTTTTAAAAAATTACCGCTACTTTTAAAAAAACTGACAACTTAACAAACTTTCAACATAAGTTATCTAAAGCAAATCTATATATTCACTTTCAACATATTTATACCCAGTCTCACATACCTACTTGTGCACCATTAGAACAGGGGATACTGATATGTAAGCAAGTAGTTTTGCACAATCTACTGGATTTCCTATGTTATCTTCATATGCAATAGGAGTGAATGATGAGCTACTAGGGAAACAACTGGTACAAAAGCACAGAAACATGACAAGGTGACACTATCAGACTACCTACCATTTAAATATAAATAATTCACCATCACTGCAACACAGGCTAAACATATAAAAGTAGAAATCAAAGTTACACAGATCACAGAGTGCCTTACGTGTTATGTTACAAAGTCTGGACTTTATCCTATAGAAGGATTCCCAAATCTGACTAAGAGTCTCTTGGAGTTTTTAAAACTGCAGATTTTCAAGCTTCACCAGAGACATATTAGACCCTCCCGGAGCAACCCCAGGAACTTTACTTTGATCAGAGTTCTCTATGTAATTCTTGTGCAGTGGTACCCTCTGAAGAACCTGCCAGAGGTTGGTGGGCCTATGCAGAACTTCAAGGGGAGACTGCAAATAGGGAAACCAGTCAAGGACTTCTCCCAGCAGTCCATGGTAAGAGAAATAGGTCTGAACCAAAAGCAGTGAGAAGTAAAGGACGACTAAGCAAAAGCAGTAAGGTTTAAACTGACTTCCAGGCTGGAGGGAGCATTAACCAGAACAGGAAATGGAGGGAGGGGGGCTTAGACCAGTTTTGGACTATGTTACAGCACATCCAAAATGGAATCATCTAGTAAGCAGTTGGGTACCAAGTCTAGAGCTCAGGAGAGCGCTAGGCTGGAACCATCACTGAGTACTATGGGATGAGAACCTGGGGATATAAGTAAGGTACAGCGCTTACCAGCAGCACCAAAGATCACACCTGTGTCTCCTAACTTCACTTCCCAGGTACAGTTTAGAGACACCCTCAAGGGCGCCGGGGTGACTCAGTTGGTTAAGCGTCCAACTCTTGATCTCAGCTCAGGTCATGATTTCAGCGTCATGAGATCGAGCCCCACTGTGGGCTCCACGCTGGGCATGGAGCCTGCTTAAAAATAATAAAGACACCCTGAAAATGGCCTTATTCCTCCCTCTCTTGGCTGCTGCCAAAAACAACTATACTGAGACTAAGGCCCTTCTGACCTCCATTCTAGCTCCCTGACCCTCCTATTCTCTTGACGAACACACAGAGAGCTGGAGGCACAGGAGCCACGATAGCAAATGCCTACAGCCTACTTTTCATAAAAGTGGAGAGAAGGACCTGTAATGGGGGAAAAGAGCAAACCATGGTATCAGATACAGCTTGTAAAGCCCTTCCCCACTCTTAATCCTTCCAGTATCCTATGACAAAGGTAATTCTGTGCCGTGCTCTCAAATTCAAGGTTGATGAGATTCCAATCCCCCTCCTCCCCTAGCCTGTGCTCAGTGGGAACACTCAAAAGCTACTACTAGCTGGTCAATTCCTGACAAGGCAAAAAGGCATTCCCTCTGACGGGCTAACTGCCCAACAGTTTTCCTTACTCTCTGCTGTAACAGAATTTCAAAGGGAGGATCAGGTCCAGTACAAAACAGTCCCAGCGCTTAAAAACTGCTTACCTAACATACGCTGAGCCATTATTAAATGAGGAAAACGTCCAAGTTTACTGGAACCATGAAAAAAATACTGTTTCGGATCGTATTTCCCCCATTACATAAGCCCACTTCTGCAGTGTTCTAACGCAATTCTGTTTCCTTTCAAGGCCGTCTCTGTTCTCTGAACACGGCCACGCACTTCAGCTTCCACACAGGAGGGCCAAGTGATGGCAGGGCAAACTGCGCGCGGCTTTCCAACCGCACCTCGGCGCAGCACACGGCTTCTCCTCCGCCGTTACCCCCTCCTCGCTCCATCCCCCGCTGGTTCAGAACGAGGGCGCCTTGCCCACAAGCCTCTGTGAGTGTTCCGCACCTCGGTCATCGGCCTTCGAGGTGCTACTTTCCGTGCCACGGCCCCGGGCGGCCTGGTAAGGCCTGCGGCCCATTTCGCAGGACGGTTTTACGGAGACATGAAGCGCCCGGCGCCACAGAGAAAATGCTACCGTGCGGCTGTGCCAGCACGGTGACGTCACGCCCACGCCGAGCTAACCCCACCCCGCCAGGACTCCGCGGGAACCGGGAGCGCGAACATGTGCACGCGTCTCCCGCACCGCAGCGCACGGCTAGGACGGCCGGGGGCGCGGGGGTTCCCTCGCTCCAACAAAAGCTCTTTCCAAGTTCACAGATCCGAACCGTACGCAATGACCCACACCAGCTGGTTACCACAACGGGCGAACCCACGGGCGGCGGCCGTGAGCCGTCTGGGTGGGAGAGCGCGGGGCCGAGCCCGCCGTCACCTCTGCTGCGGGCGCCGACTCCACGAGTGACCCCGACACACGGCGAGGTGCGGACGCGTTCCCGCTCCGCTGCAACACTCTCCGCCCCTTCCAGCCCACGGGGGGCCTCCACCCGACGACAGACGCGGTCACCGGGAGGGGCCGGCTTCCGCGGTCCGCCGGGCCTCGAGCGCCCGCTCGGCCAGCAGCGCCGCCAGCGGGCTCGGGGCGGGCGGGCGCACCCACACCACACCGAGGCCGCGCCGCCAGAACGCGCCCGCCCGCCCCGGGGACGCCCGCGGACGCCGGCCGCACAAAGCCCCTGCGCGGCCACCAGGAGGGGGCGCTGCGCGCGCGAACCGAAGCGGACGCCGGCAGCCATGATGGCGCGGCCGCCTCACAGCGGCCATTTCGCAGCAGCGCGCTCCTCCCGCGCGAGGGCCCCGCCAGGCCGCCCCCCCGCCCGCCAGGCCGCACCCCGCCCGGCGCCCCCCCGAGCCGAGCCGAGGCGGGCGGGGAGCCGGCCGTGGGGCTGTCCCGGGCCTGGCGGCCGCCCCCCCACGCACCGCGCACGGCCGCCCCTCCCCCACGCCACATCAGCTCCCCGCCGCCGCCATGGCGCGCCCGCCACCTCCCCACAATGGGCGGCCCCCCGCGCCCGCCTTCCCCGGGGCGCCCGGCGCTCCCCGAACTCCCCGCCCGCGCCGCGCCCTCGCCCGCGGCCAAGCCCGCCGCCGCCGCAATGCGCCTTCCTCACAAAGCCCCTACCCGCCACCCCCGGGCGCGGCCTGCGGCGCCCCCCGGCCCCCGCCGCCCCCGGCCGCTGCCCGCCCGCTCCCGCGCCGCCCGCCGCCTCTCCCCGAAGGCCCGGACTCACCCTCCTGGAATTTGGGCTTCGGGTCCTGCTTCGGCGCCATTTATAAGTGATTCGCCGCCGCCTCCTCCTTCTCCCACCACCCCCGACTACCGCCCCCTACTCTCTACCCCACCCAGCTCCGCGTCAGACGCGCCGTCAGGCACCGCCAGCTCTACATCCTGGGCCCGATTTGCCAGCGCCCGCAGACCTCACCGCGCCGCGACCGCGCAGCCGCCGCCCCAGCCAACGGCCGCCCGCCGCGCACGCGCCGCTGCGCCCGCGCCGCCCCGGGGCACGCCGGGATCGGTAGTTCCGCGGGGTGGGGGAGGGGCGGCCGGCCCGAGAGTGAGGGGGGGCCGGGGCGCCCCGCCCGCAAGTCCGCACCCCTGGAGCACACGCGGGGGCGAGGGTCCCTGCGAGCCCGCTCGGCGCTCCTCCGTGCCGCCCGCGTCCTAGTGACCGGGGGTGGGGTGTGGGGGTGGCGGCTTGGGGGCGCCCCGCTCCCGCCGCAGCCCGTCACCCGCCCCCCCCCGACGGCGGTGGCCGCGGACCCACCCGCGTCCGCTGGCCGCCCCCGGCACCCACCCTGCCTTCTGTGTTGTGATTCTACCACCCCCTGCTCGTTCCTGAGGCTGCCATTCAGCAGCGTAAAACACCGGGCACAACTGCGGGGACCCCGTCGTCGCCCTCCTGTCCCTCGCCGGCCTCCGCGCCGCCGGGACACACACCTGCAATCACGTCTGCGTCCACCTGCCATGTTCAAGGGCTCGCCACATCCCCGGAATACATAGACCTTAACTAATGGGATCTTGGTTCTCTTGCAGGACCCTGAGGCTGCTTTCAGGGCTCCACTGTCAGAAACCCACGTCTTTCGACCTAAACCGTTGTACACATTGTTTTTATTATTTTAGGGCCCCAGATGTGGAATTACTGAGTCAGACGCTGGGGGCATGTTCAACAGCCTTATGAAAGGCTTCATCAACTTACATTTCAACCAACAATTTAAGAGAGCCTGTTTTCCCACATCTTTGCCAGCCATGCTATCATCAGTCCCTACAGCCTGGTGTTCTGTGGACAGGAAACCAGACCGGGAGCAGAATCTCCCACAGAAATCAGGGTAGTGCTTACCTGAGGTGGGAGCGCGCTGGCTGGAGGGGGTGCCGGTTGTGTGCTTTATCTTTCTCTGCGGTGGTTACATGGTGTTTACATATGTAAAGATTCATCAAGTTGTATGGTTAGGAGTAATGCACTTTACGAGTAAGGCACTTGTAAAAATTCATCACATTATACAGTTACAAGTAATGCAGTTTAATAAAAATATCTTTAAAAGTCACTTTATTTGGGGGCGCCTGGGTGGGGCAGTCGGTTAAGCATCTGATTCTTGATTTTGGCTCAAGTCCTAATCTAATTTCAGGGTCCTGGGATGGATGCCCCAATCCCGCTCTGGGCGCTGGTTGTGGAGCCTGCTTAAGATTCTCTCTTCAGGCGGCCCTCTGTGCCGCCTCCCGCCCCCAGGGATCTTTCTCTCTCCCTCAAAAACAAAACAAAACATACAGGGCGCCTGGGTGGCTCAGTCATTAAGCGTCTGCCTTCCGCTGGGGTCATTGTTCCCAGAGTCCTAGGATCGAGCCCCGAGCCCCGCATCAGGCTCTCTGTTCCGCGGGAAGCCTGCTAGTGTTCCCTCTCTCTGTCAAGCTTTTTTTAAAGATTTTATTTATTTATTCGACAGAGAAAGAGACAGCAAGAGAGGGAACACAAGCAGGGGGAGTGCGAGCTTCCCACTGAGCAGGGAGCCTGGTGTGGGACTCGATCCCAGGACCCTGGGATCATGACCTGAGCCGAAGGCAGACGCTTAACGACTGAGCCACCCAGGCGCCCTCAAATAAATAAAATCTTAAAAAAAAAAAAAAAAAATACAGACAACTAGAAAAAATAATACACTATGTATCATGCCTGGTTTCCTTAGTATGTACTTCTAAAACAATACAATTATCACACACAACACAATTAACTGTGATTCCCTAAAATCATTTAATTCCCATTCCATATTTCCTCACTGGTTCCCAAAATATTTGTATATTTGTTGCTTTTTTTTTTTTTTTAAAAACTATCCACTAAATGACATTTTTCATTTGGTTGTTAAATCTTTTAAATCTAGGCCAGAAGCTCTTACGGTAGGAATCCATGGATACAATTCAAAGGTAAAAAATTATGTCTTTATTTTCACCACATTCAAAGTGAAATTTAGCCTGTCCTTTCATTATAAATGAAAGAAACAAACTACAACAATATCAGCAACACCTGCCACTTTGCCAGGTGTTTTCGTGTCACATGACAGTTCTTGTATATATCTCCAAGCTATCATTTACATTCATCATGATTTTGAAATTACTATACTTATTAGGCCTGCTGCTAGATCTTGTTATTTAATGCATTAGAAATGAAGCATGTACATTACCATATTTTAAGATATTTTGATAACTTTATTTCAGTAGAATTGTTTTCCTTTATCGTCCTGTGTGTTTTTGTTTTGTACGTATGAAATCATTCTGAAGGGCGCCTGGGTGGCTCAGTTGGTTAAGCGACTGCCTTCGGCTCAGGTCATGATCCCGGAGTCCTGGAATCGAATCCCACATCAGGCTCCCAGCTGAGCCGGGAGCCTGCTTCTCCCTCTGACCCTTTCCCCTCTCATGCTGTTTCTCTCTCTCTCAAATAAATAAATAAAATCTTTAAAAAAAAAAAAAAGAAATCATTCTGAAAAGAGCTCAATGACTTCACCAGACTGCTGCAGGGTGGGAGGGGGCCCTCTGCACAGAACAGTCCACCCACATACACACTTTATTTTTAAAGGTATTAGTGTGTGTTCATGACCTTTGCTTTCTGAAGAACCTGAGTCTTTTTGAATGTCTGACGTTCTGGATTTGTCTGATTGTTTACTCACGGCCTTACTTAACTCACGTCTTTTCTTATACTTTCCATAAGCTTAAAGTTGGGTCTAAAGCCTTGATTAGATCTAAGTTGAGTGCTTTTGACAAGAATATCTTATAGGTGATGCTATGTACTTCTCAACTGGGTCACATCAGGAGACTCATGATGTCTGTGCATCTCATCAGTGATGCTAAATTTGATCACTGGGCTAAGGAGGTTAGACGATTTTGTTTTTGCATAATCAAATAGTATTTAAATTTATGGAGATTTAAACACATATACAAAAGTAGAGGGGGTAGTATGATGATGTATGCATCACTCAGCCACTACAGTTATTAATCTTGTTTTCTTGCTACCGACCATTCCTCTCTCCACCAAAATCCGTAACACAAATCCCAGATATGATATCTATTTCCATCATAGACAAGTTAGTACACATCTCTTTTTTATTTTTTTCTTTCTCCAAATTTTTATTTAAATTCCAGTTAGTTAACATACAGTGTAATATTAGTTTCAGGAATACAATTCAGTGATTCATCACTTATTTACAACAGCCGCTGCTCACCACAATCGAAGGGCTCTTTTTTTAAATACAATACCGTTATTACATTTAAAAATAAATAACTTCTTAGTATCTTCAAGTATCCAGTCAGCAAATAGATTCTCCAGATTGTGGTCATACATGTGTTTTTACGAGTGGTTGGTTCAAATCAGGATCCAAACACCGTTCACTCATTTCTTCACATTTCATTTGTAAGTTATCTCTCTTTTTCTTGCCCTTTGCTTGTCAAAGAGAACCACAGAGAATTAGCGCACTTTCTTAAAATGAATCATTTATAGAATGATTGAATGCCAAGTCTTGTAATACAAGTTCCATGGGAGAGTAAAGTGTGTTTGATTTGGCATATCTTTGAATATATTCTTTTAGCAAAAATAGTAATCAATCATCAGTCAACATAATAAATCACCAGCCAGCAACAAGAAAAAAATATCCTTTGAGATCAAGCTCATTTTTAAATGTTACTTCTGATGGAACTGTGACCCTAACTCCCTCCCTGGAGCTGAACATTTGCATCCAATCAAACCATCGCTTTTCCTAACACTTTTAAAATGAAATGAAATGAGATGAATGATAATTACTTAATACAGAGCATTAAAAAATAAATTTTAAATCAAAATCACCTCCTAATAGAATGCTGATTAAATTAGTGTCCTGGGGCTACCATCACAAGGTGCCACGAGTGGGTGGCTTAACAACAGGAATTTACTGTCTCACAGTTCTGGAAGCCAGAAGTCTGAGATCAGGGTGTGGGCAGGGCTGCTTCCTCCTGAGCCCGGGAGGGAGAACCTGGTCTGGGACTCTCCTTCTAGCTCTACTGGTAATGCTTGGTGTCCCCACCTTGTGGAAACACTCCACCCTCTGCCTACATCCTCACATGGCCTTCTCTCTTGTGTCCAAAATGTGCATTTCTGGGTGTGTGTCTGTGTCCAAATTCCCTCTTTTTATAAAGACACCAGTCATACTGAGTTGAGAGCCCTTTCTACTCCGGTATGAACTCATTTTGATTAATTACATCTACAAAACCCCTATTTCCAAATAAGGCTGCCTTCTGGGGTACTGGAGGTTAGGGCTTCAACACATGCATCTTGCGGGAGTGCAATTCAACCCATAACAAAGTGTTCAATTTAAAATGGATGTATTGGGCGCCTGGGTGGCTCAGATGGTTAAGCGTCTGCCTTTGGCTCAGGTCATGATCCCAGGGTCCTGGGATCGAGTCCCACATCGGGCTCCCTGCTCCTTGGGAGTCTGCTTCTCTCTCTCTGTCTCTCCCTCTCTCTCTCTCCTCCTCTGTCTCTCATGAATAAATAAATAAAATCTTTAAAAAAATAAATAAATAAAATGGATGTATGGGGGCACCTGAGCGGCTCAGTCGTTGGGCGTCTGCCTTTGGCTCAGGTCATGATCCTGGGGGTCATGGAATCGAGCCCCACATCGGGCTCCCTGCTCCGCGGGAAGCCTGCTTCTCCCTCTCCCACTCCCCCTGCTTGTGTCCCCTCTCTCACTGTCTCTCTCTCTGTCAAATAAATAAATAAAATCTTTTAAAAAAATAATAAAATAAAATAAAATGGATGCATGATGAATACTTCTGGGGAAAAGAGTATACTTACGGTGATGAGCACTGGGTAATGTCCAGAATTACTGAATCACTGTGCGGTGCACCTGAAACTAATATAACACTGTATGTTAACTATACTGGAATGAAAAATCAATAAACCAATAGCTGGGTGATATCTTCATTGACTTCTTGTCAATTTACCAGTTTACCTCTTCTCTGACGGATGGGATTTTTGCCTTTTGAAAAATTCTACAT